CTAACTGATATTTTGTAAGAATGCTCGTGCGATATCAGCTGTTATTCCTATACCACTTTTACGGAAGCCAACCAAGATATCAGATATTTTATCCAAAAAAAATGATCCCTTTGTCTAGGCATGCATTCAATGACTTACCATTTTTATCCTTTGCAGATGCATAATAAACAGGTCGCAATTTGGTGCTAAGACTGGTCTCTTTTGTTACAGCCCTATGAGGTAAGTAGTGAACATCATAATCTTTGCTTCTCTCAAACTCAGGTACTTGTTCTATGATACCCATTTGCTCTCATTCTTTAATAATAATATCATAATCATGAAACTTACCAGATAAAACCAACTTGTTTGTTGCAGCTTGCAGTTGGTGCTTTGCCAGTTCCAGATTGCTCAACAGATCATTGTGACCTGCCTTCCATGGGAGATGGACTTAGTATCTGCAATCATCATTCACCTGGACGCTGTCTTCAAAGTTGTTCATCACCTCTTCCTCCTTCTGTAGTTTGGACTGCACCTGAACTGGATCTTGGATACCTATAATTTCTAAATTCCAAAATTCAGTCATATTTTGTACACAAAACAAAGATGTTACAATATTAGTGTTTGTTGTAGTATTCTGTGTTTTTGTTTTCCCCATTACAGTCCAACCAATTTATGGCTGTTAAACCACAATATATAACACCCCCCTCCAAGAAATGTCACATAGCACGGTCCTAAGCCATCTTAATCTATCTACTTCCGGCATCTCTTACTCCTACCAGTTCATTACTCCAACTAGCAGGGTCGTCCTACATGACTTGATTTTTCTTTTTGAATAATGTAACATCTAGGACATAACTCACGCCTATTACTGCAGTCATATCGATGAGTAGTACAACATAAAAAAAATTATTTCGATGTTACCTGACCTATTTTTTCGCAACAAAACTTTAGATACCATCCATGCCATGTGAATGATTGGCAGTCCAACATTATGCAATTTATGAGAAGTTTTCTCCCCCGCACAACTTCCTTGTGGAATCGATTACCACCAGCGATTTTTTCGGACCGATACGACTTAGGGACCTTCAATAAAAGAGCGTACTCTTTTTTAAAAGATCGGCAACGCATCTGCAATCCCCTGGTGTTGCAGTTGTTCATAGGCGGCGATAGTCACCATCAGGTGTGAGCCGTATGCTTGTGGCGACATGCAATTTTGTGTTTTTTTTTTGTATGTTTAGTGAACGGCGTACGCGCGAACGCGATGTTCGTGTCGATTGGATCGGAAATGCTCGGCGCCGTTAGAGCTGCTTTCGTGACAGTCCGGGCGCCTTCGGTTTTTACCGGCAGTCTGCATTTAAACGGCCTCAGCGCCAGACTCCATGCTCGCGCCGCCGGTTATTTTAAATCGTGACTAACTTATTCTTGGCTTCCTATCTCAAGCACTCCTACTTCTAATAAATTGTGTTTTCTTATTCATTTGTTTTTATCTTTTCCTACGTGCTTTTAATTTTAAACTGTCTTTGTAAAAGAAAAAATATATACATTTTTGGAAGAGTGAAGACGCTTTCATTTGCCTAGCACTATGCCCACATGCTCATTTGCGCCCTCTACCTTAAAAATAATTCTTAGTGGGTTTTAATGAGTGTCTCGTTGGTCTAGAGGTCGTAAATGCGATTGCTGGTCGTGTGACCTTGGCCAAAATCAATTAATGGATATTTCTGTCAAAAAATTCTCAGAAGCAGCCCGGAGTTAGGAAGTTGGCGGAGTTCCTCCCTCCGCGTTTTTTTTTTTTTTTATAGGAGAGGGGGCAAACGAGCATGCGGCTCACCTGATGGTAAGTGACTACCGCCGCCCATGAACAACCGCAACACCAGGGGAATTGCAGATGCGTTGCCGGCCTTTTAAAAAGGAGTAGGCTCTTTTCTTGAAGGTCCTTAAGTCGTATCGGTCCGGAAAAATCGCTGGTGGTAAACTATTCCACAAGGAAGTTGTGCGAGGAAGAAAACATCTTCTAAATCGCACAGTGGTGGACCGCCAATCATCGAGATGGTGTGGATGGTATCGGGAGTTCTGCCGCGATGTGCGTTCGTGAAATTTGGCGGCTGGGATTAATCCGAACAATTCCTCAGAGCACTCCCCATGGTAAATGCGAAAAAAAATGCTAAGAGATGCAACATCTCTTCGCAGTGCCAATGAGTCGAGCCGATCGGAAAGGACTTGGTCGTCGACGATTCGAGCCGCTCTGCCCTGGATGCGGTCAAGTGGAAGAAGCTGGCACTGGGCAGCCCCAGCCCAGAGATGGGAACAGTATTCCATGTGAGGCCGAACCTGCGCCTTGTAAAGTTGCAGGCGTTGAGCCGGCATGAAATACTGTCCCGCTCTGCTGAGCACGCCAAGCTTTTTAGAGGCCAATTTGGCCTTCGCTTCCAAGTGACCACGAAACTGCACGCTACTCGATATGTCGACGCCGAGGATTCCGATACTGGCTGAGGCAACAAGGGGAGTACCTTGAAACTGAGGAGATACGACAAAGGGGTTCTTTTTAGCGGTAAACGCGCAAACTTGTGTCTTCTGAGGATTAAACTGGACTAGATTTAGTCGCCCCCAATCCGAGACTTTGTCCAGCAAAGACTCGACTTCAGACACAAGTTTGTTCCGGTACTCGGTGACGTTTTCCCGAGAAATATTGGCACGGCCGGTGTATAGAGCATCACCAGTGCTGTCATCTGCATAGCAATGAATGCTACCAGCTTGCAACATATCATTGATATGCAGAAGAAACAGCGTTGGTGATAGCACACAGCCTTGTGGAACACCAGCGTTAATAGGCTTGTAGTCGGAGCATGCACCGTCTACAACGACCTTGATGCTCCGATCTGCAAGAAATCTGGTGATCCAATTGCATAATTTCTCGGGAAGCCCATAGGAAGGGAGCTTCGAAAGAAGCGCTTTGTGCCAAACCCGATCGAAGGCCTTCGCAATGTCCAAACTAACGGCCAATGCCTCCCCCTTGGACTCTACTGCCAACGCCCATCTATGAGTTAAGTAGACCAGAAGATCACCAGCTGATCGACCCCGACGAAAACCGTACTGGCGGTCACTAATCAGCTGGTGATCCTCAAGGTACCGCATGAGGTGGCAGTTTACAACGGATTCCATTATTTTGGAGAACAAGGGGGTGATGGCGATAGGCCTGTAGTTGGACGGATCTGAGCGGTCGCCTTTTTTAGGGATCGGGTGGACAAAAGCTGTCTTCCATGATTTCGGGACTACGCCTAGGGAGTAGGAGTACCGGAAAAGACGCGTTAGAACCGGTGCCAACTCCGGAGCACACGTCCTCAGCACAATTGGGGGGATTCCGTCAGGCCCACTCGACTTGTGGATGTCAAGGGAGAGGAGTGTTCTGCGAACCGAGCGCTGTGAGAATCGCACATCCGGCATGGAGCACTCACACCGCGGGATGGTCGGCGGTGTTTTCCCCCCGTCATCAAGAGTCGAGTTGGACGCAAAAAGGGAGCCTAAAAGGTCGGCCTTCTCTTTTGCGTCGTGGGCCAGTGAGTCGTCCTCCCTGTGCAGAGATGGTAGTGATGGCTTACAGAAATTCCCTTGGACAGCCTTGGCGAGAGACCAGAATGCACGGGTTCCCGAAGGAAGGCGAACTAGTTTCTCGCCAATTCTGCCTATGTGCTCTGACTTTGCCTTGGCAATAACACTTTTGAAGGACCTGGAGGCGAAGTTATACTTCTTTTTGAGTGTGCTGGTGTTTACATCCCGAGTCACCGAAGCCGCAGCCCAGGCTTGATAACACTCCTGCTTACTGCGTAATGCAGTCTTACAGGAGCGACCAAACCAAGGCTGAGATCTGTCTCCGATGGGTACCACAGATGATGGAATAAATAGTTCCATTCCCTGTAGCACTACATCAGTGACAGAGTCAGCAACAGCGCTGGGATCATCCGGCGAGAAGCAAACCCGCCCCCATGGGTAGGAAGCAAAGAAAGACCGCATTCCGTCCCAATCCGCCGACCTGTAATGCCAAACACGGCGGCAACCTGCAGAACGCAACCGCGAGGGGAGCGTGAGTGGCACCACACTCCGGATCAGACAATGGTCCGAAGAGCCAAGAGGGGCATCGACGGAAACCTGATATCCGTCCGGATGAGAGGTCAGCAGAAGGTCCAACAGGGAAGGTGTATGATCCTCAACATCTGGAATCCGCGTAGGCGATGTAACCAGTTGTGTCAGACCATATGCCAAGGCAAAGTCATAAACAGATCTTCCCGCATGATCGGTTAAACGTGAACCGAGCCATTCGGCGTGGTGGGCGTTAAAATCGCCAAGGATCACGATCTCTGGCTTCGGATAGCTTGTACAGTGAGAAAATAAAGAGTACATATGTGCTTGCGTATACAATTGAGCACTAAAATCCTGTCCTGCGCAGATTACTAATGGTCGCTGTGATCGAAATTCGGTCTAGAGGATATTATTACATCACAAATACGGTGACTGATAATAAGCAAATACTAATGTTTTATAATTTATAATGAAAATGATTAATATACATAAATTATTAGTCAAAAAATAACTTTATTATTTAACACAGCTAACGTCACGATACATTACGGTGCGTACATATTATATAACATAACATGTTTCAGTAAGGTAGAGACTGAATGTTATAAAATGTGTTATATAACTCGAGAGTATTTTTCTTTAGTCAACAAACTATGTTTGTTTGGGACGAACCCAGTAGCTATGTTTTTTTTCTTTTGTTATTTAAAAGTACAAGAGTTGCTGCAGCAGCTAGTTAAAATTCTTCTCGTGTCGACATTGTGAAAAGCACTGCAGAACGACAAACGACAATGTCATATAACATTGTTGTATTGCATTGTTATTCTAAGGTGTGGTAATGTGTACAGTATTGTTATGTTTCAATATTGAAAAACAATGTAACATAATGTGAACGTGTTATAAAACAAAAGTTATACAACATGTTACTTAATCTGTACGCACCCTTAGAATTAATCAGTTCTCTCTCTAAACAATAGAGGAAGTCCGTCCTTTATACTTTGTACAATATTTGAAGTAGGGTTCACAACAGGATATCTAAGGGTATCTAGAGCAGGCTCAACTGAATAACGAGATAGTATAGCTGCAAGGCCTGCTAGTGATTGCATAAGACCTAGTCGTTCACCTGAAAAATTTATAGAAAAGTAAATCAATTAATGCTTTAATATTATCAAGACCAAAGTCCAATCTATGCTTTATCACCATTATTACGTAGTGTTCTTTTCAAGCAAAACAATCAAATTTATGAATAGAATTCCCCAAAAGATACCATTCCATAGAATATAAGTAATAATATGTATGAACACAATATTTAGACAAAAGAACAATCAATACAATCAGGGGTTACTTTGCGAAAATCCATTATCTAATACATTTAAAAAAATAATTAGCTATTAGAATAAATTAAGAACGCCTTTCTATATTTTCCTTTTCTTTTCAATAAAATATTAGATTGTATATTGAATAACTGATCATTATAACACTCAGTCATAAGTTGGCTGATCGTAACAACTGAAGCCGCTCCCACAAATATGAGGCAGAGACCTCACGCATAATTCATCAGATTGATTTAAGTGGTTATACGTATAGTATATCATATCCAGTTATAACAGAAAACGTCAAAATAGATTTATCAAGAAAGTAAAGAAACTCAAATTAAAGCACAATTCAAGTAAAAAGTACATGTCATGCCTGCAGCCAATGTTTGAGTATTGTTATTAATATTTCACTTGCAATAAAAGTAAAAGGGTTACCATTGTTGTGCTAGCGGCTCACGAGAACATATCACCCCATTTGGAACTGTGGGTGTCGTAAGAGGCGACTATAGAAAATTCTAAAACGATGTTATGGCTTCGGGTAGATGGCAATATGAGAATTTTGTTAACATCAGGTGTAAAATCTCAGACGACCGACTTGAAGCAGTATCAAAGGTGGGAAACGTCTGGTACTGCAAACGTCAATCCACTTTTTAGCGTAACGATTAAGTCAAATCCTTGATTGGAGAGAGCCATGCCCATTAGTAGACTTTTATGGGCAAAAAAGATTAGCATAAATTTAAAATTTAAAATTTCACGTTTTTATATCAAAATCGACTATTTCTTTCAGAAGATTTTACACAATATATATTTTAACTATGGTACGTACCATACACATATACGAAAAATCGTGTTATGTTTTCACATTTCAACATCAAATTAAAAAGATAATGTAAAAAGTACTAGCTTATAATTTATTTTTCCACATGCATTGGGAAAAACATATTTAATTCCTCATGTGATCGGATGCCACGAAACGGATTTAAATGATCTTGCAGCACATATTTATAAGATTGTAGAAATATAATGTGATATTATGTAATGAATTTTGGTTAATTAACTAAATCAAAGTTCACTATCAATATTTCACACTATTAATAAAAGAAACAAAACAGCTACCAAAACAAAATATAAATATACTGTAAGGTGTAAAGTTGCAATTAAGTACATTTGACTTACCAATACAAGCTCGAGGTCCATCACCGAATGGCAAATATACGTGTTTGATTTTAGAATTAACGTTTTCAGGCAAGAAGCGCTCTGGACTGAACTGGTTTGGATTTTCAAAATACTGTGGATCATTATGCATCGCTTGCAATGGAATAATCACAATTACCCCCTCATCAATAGGCAGATTAATTTCTGGAAATGTATATTTCTGTGCACTTTCTCTAATCAAAAATCCTAAGGACGGGAACATTCTCATACCTTCTCTAAAGGCACAATCCAAGTATTTCATTTCCTTTATCGCGTCGTAGCAAAGCTTGCCGTCGTACTTTGATAGAACGTTGTCGATTTCTTCTTGTACTTTTTTTTGGATTTCTGGATGAAATGCGAGCTGGTGCAGAGTAAAACTAGTTGCTGAAGATGAAGTTTCGAAACCCGCGGCAAAAAATACAAATACCTGAGCAGTTATAAGCAAATCGTCCAACTCTAAAGAAACTTTTTCAGGAGTACCATCAGCTTTTGTTTTCTCTATAGATTCCCCAATCATCTTTCCTTTTTTCTTACACTCAAGGAGTAAATCTATGAAATCGTTTCTACCGCATGGCTCATAATTTCTTTCTTGCATAATACTTTTAACCAGATTGATCATATCTTTTTCTATTTTCCCTAATACTTTCAAATGTTTGCATGCTTCAGGAAACATCTCTTTGAGTATTTGTATACAAATTTCACTGAAACCAAATGTGAAAATTTTGGCACCTAGTTTTCTAAAAGCTGAATTCTCGTCACTAAGAGAATCTGCATCAAGGCCAAAACCGCAAGCCCCAATAAAATCTGTAGTATAACGGGCCATTATCTCACGGGCATCCAGGACTCGACCGGTTTTTGTAGCATTAATCGCTTTATTTTGTAACCTTTCGGCACGTTCCACAATGAGAGGAAACATTGCTTTCAACTTTCCTGATGTAAACGCTGGAGTCATACGCTGTCTTAACAACCTCCAAAGGTCCCCATCAGCGAAGAATAAATTCCTCAACAAAGGCTCGATGACAGTTTTATGAGTATTTAAGCCTCTTGGGTAGAAATATGCAAAATCGGTTACAAGGGTGCGTTTCACTATTCCTGGTTCTCTTATTATCAATTCTGGTTTAAAGGAATCAAAGAAACCAACGACTTTCTCATTAGGGTATTTCCAGTATAGATCAGCAGCCACCTGCGTAATACTCTTTTGCGCTAAATAAAAACTTAAGCTGTTGCCAATAAATGGTATCGGTTTATCATGCTTGACTCCTCGCTTTTCCCAATATTTAAAAGTTCTCGTTCCGTAACAGTACAAAACTACAAGCGCAACAATTAATAGAGCTAAATAAATCATGTTGGAATAACACGCGCATTAAAGTAAAACACTAGTTTGTATGTTTGGATAAAGACAAGTATGCACTATATAAAACCGCTGATACGGAATGATAACAAAATATTATTACCTTATATCAAGTAATTCGTTTATGTATGAAGTATCATTTGTATATTTGTATATCTACATATTTTTTATAATCATAGAAAATATGAAATATTTTAATTATTTCTTATATCTACTCGAACGAAATGTTCAGGACACCCTTCAAGATAATGATGTCGAAGACATTATCTAATTATAAAATTTAAAAATTATTGATTTCTTATATTTACGCGAACACTACACATTTAAATAAAACTAATTTTACGGATTTTATCGCGTATATTAACTTATTTTATTTTCCCGCCGTTTCAAGTACTTTACAGCACCCATGGTCACGGGGGGGACTGAGGTGTATGACGTCCCAATGTCATAGTTTTTTTTTTTGGAGTTTATGGCCTGGTATCTAGACCTTTAGGCCAAGTCTTAAGTATTTTTATTCGGTTTATTGTAATTTTCCCACTCCTTCATAGTATACTGCTTCACAATATGTTGATGCGTCACATTGTGCAGTTCTTGGGAGATTTTGGCGGCAACTTGATCCAGCAGACAGCTGATAGTTGGCGATGGTATCTAAAGGTGCCTATGCAAACAAACAGCTTATCTTGAGAATCCATCACCATCAGAGCACTTGTTTCACTGTTTCCACTAATAGTTCACATGCGTAGACACTTAATACACAAAATCGCAACACTTTTACATATCAAAGTCCACTTCAAACCATTATTTAAACAATAATACAGGAGCAGCAAACCGCCGCCGGTCAATTTCCCGCCAAAACTCCCTCAATGTCATAGTTAACCACGGCTACCTCCAGATTAAAAATTTTAATTTTTGTTCCGATCTACGCAGTATGAACTTACAGTATCATGAAGTCTTGCAGTTGTATGCTTGGGTTGGGATTTAATTTTATTAATTATGGGATCCCAAGCAGATGGTAGCACCCAGCCATCTTCTCTATTGCAATTAGGATGTTTTTTTTTAATTTCAATAGCCTCGCGAATCATCCTTGGAAGGAATCGGTGTTCTTTAGCGAGAATTTGTGGTCTATCAAATCTAATGTAGGGACGGGGTGCCCCTGAACGTGTTCACACACTGCAGACGCTCCGGGAAGTCTGCAGTGTGTGAACACGTACACGTGCCGTGTGCAGACAAAAACACGAATCATTATAATTGTCTCGATAAAAATGTTAAAGATAACATTAAATCGCTATTTAAACGGTTACTATGAAGAGATTCCATAATGAGACTTTATAAAATCAAATTCAAACGAAAGGGCTATTATTTTTAGGATAAGTTGGGAAACAACACATTGTGAATTTTCGTTTTTATAAAAAAGTAAAATAAAACAGTTATAAGTGCTCCTTCACGCCCCGGCCAGTGCCAAAGAATATAAGTTTTATCCGAATAAGTCGGCTCAACCGGGGAAGGACCACGCTCAGAATACCAGCGTTAAACAGCAGCTTAATGCTATTTTTCAAGGATATAGATGTTACTTACTTACTTATACCCTTACGCAATAAAAAATATTTCGATAAACATTTCTGAAAGAGTCCGAGCCTGTATAGGCTTTTAATCTTTATTTATTTTACCTGTATTAAGTTTATTTTGTTGCAATCGATGTTTTTTTATAATCTAATACTTTTTATAGACTATTGATTTGGAAGACTTCCCATAAAAATTCATTGTTTAGATAACTTCCGGATTCCATTACTATTTGCGGAGATTATCGTAATGGAACAAGGAAAATGGTAGTACAGGAAAAGAAACAAATTAGTTTCAAACATTTAAGCAAATCTGATGAAGTATTTATAATAATTATGTCGTTCATTAATAATGATGATATGTAATAATTTATACTTTAATCATATATTTTATTTTATTTTGAAAATTTACAGCAATTACTTATTTTTATAAAAGTATAAAAATGTTACTATTAAGCCAAAAATGTTACAAGTTTCCACTTTTAGTATTAAAAATAAAATAGATAAACAAAAGCCAGCTCAAACATAATTCAACTAGCTACAATATCTTAAAGTTAAAAACCGTTATGAATATTTTAAGAAATAACATTACCATATTCACTGGTTAAGGTACGCTTGGCTACTCTCGGTGAATTATTATTAAAAAAATCGATATCAAAGGTAAGCGAATTTATAAATTCAGCAGTTCTAATCTTGAAATAATTACGTCTATAATTCGTGTGAGCTCTGTTTACATAATTTGCGCATCCTCATACTTGCTTTAGGAACTCTTAAAGGAACATCAGATATAATAATTCCGGGAAGTTAACTGAACCATTACAAATGTTCATATAAAACATATGATTTCTTTAATATTACGTAGAAGACATAAAGGTAAAAGTGACACCGATTGCACCTCGTTTCGATAGATACTTTAAGAACCTTTTCTTACCACTCCGGATACAATACTAATAAATCTCATTATATCATCGGTTTGTTAAAGAAAATAAATTGCGTTAAAAAAAATTCTGAAAAAATCCCTTGAATATAATTTATTGTTTATTATTTTAATCGCTTCAACGAGTACTTATCTAGGTGCAATTAGGTATATAATATGATTATTTAAATAAAATTTAATCCTTACATACACTTTAAGTTGAAACGATGAAATTGCAAATATCTGTATCATATTCTTATCTGAAAATGTTTACTCCGGAGCCGTCCCTACGCGCGAATTCTATTGTTTGTTATATTGCATGCTGGCATTGAGCTGTCGGTGTAGAACAAAAAATTTGACATCCCGAAGGAATATTGGGAATTGGAAACCTCAGTGCGATCGTCACGATATCCCAAATATTTTGTAACGGGAAATCTTATTTCTATATGTTTGTTAAGTCGCGCATACTTAGTGGTATGTATATTTTAGTTCGTGTATAGTTTTAGTTGGTTTACGTTCATTTTCAATGCTTATTCTTTTATGGAATGATGACAAACGAGCACATAGTTAACCTGATGGTAAGTGCATGTTGGGCCCGAAGACATTTATAATATCTATCCTCGATTAAGATTCATAATGCAGATGCGTTGCCACCTCTGAGATCTAAGATGGAATGGCTCGTTTCCAAAAAAAGGGTCTCCGGTTCTCTACACTCATTATACGATAAGACAGCAGCGTTAACACATTCACTGTCCGATTTCAGACTCAATAGAAAGATGATAGCAATGTACTATTTTACGCTGGTATTCTCTAAGAGCGTGGTCCTAACCCATTCAAGCAGACCAAAGAAAAAAAAAGAATAAGAGACATACAAAAATTTTAACATTTTTAATTGTCTTCAAAAATGAGGAGATTCTCAATTTGAGTGTATGTTTTTTTGTATGTATGTTACGCCATATTTTCACAGACTGTTAACAAATTTTGATTATTATTTTTTAATTAAATAGTTTATGCTTCAAGGTTCATCCGATATAAATTTGGAGAAAAAATTTAACCCCTAAGGATAACAAATAAATAATTTATTTTTTAGCGATTTTAACTTTTTGTTAAATGTTATAATTATTACAAAGTCTGAATTATGATTAAATAAATTATGTGTAAAAGTAGTCAAGCTTGAACTTCGGCTACTAAAACGATAAAATTGCCTCACCGATATTGTTACCTCCATAGCTTCACTGTTGAACATAGGTTTGCCCATCGATTGCCGCATAGAGGTAAATTTTTTGCCATAGCTGCCACGTTTGACAGACGGGTTGTTATTAGTCAGACGATACCGCCCATCTCCTGGTTTGTTTTCCCCTGTCGCCTCTTACGACATACACGAGAAGATATCATCATATCAAGAAACCAAGATGAATCCCCACACGAGAAGAAACAGAAACAGAAACAGAAACAGAAACTTTTTTATTCAATATAGATTATAAATAATACTTATTGAAAGTCACTCTTTTGTTTGATTACCACTGGTTCGGAAAAAAACCTCTGTCCTGGGAAGAACCAGCAAGAAACCCAGCGGGACTTTTTTTTTAAATAACAGCTTACAATCATGATGTTACACAAATTAACAACACAACAAATTAGAAATAGCTTGGTAGCGATCACCTCATTTCCAGGGGTTATTATCATCCATAAATTCCTTAATATTATAATAACCCTTTTTATACAAACTTAGTTTAATAAAGTTTTTGAACTTTGAACAGGCCAAACTTTGTATATTTTCTGGAATTTTGTTGTAAAAGCGTATACATCGCCCCAAGAATGAATTACTGACTCGATGGAGTCGAGTAACTGGTACTACTAGCTTGTGTCTGTTCCTAGTATTTACAGAATGAATATCACTTATTTTTATAAAACTACTTTTATTTTTGTGTACGTACATTAAATTTTCATAAATGTATTGAGAGGCCAAAGTTAATATATTAATTTCCTTAAATTTTTGTCGCAGCGACTCTTTAGGCTTTAAATCATAAATTGCTCTTATGGCCCTCTTCTGCAAAACAAATATAATTTCAGTGTCAGCTGCGTGTCCCCATAGCAAAATACCATACGACATTATGCTATGGAAGTAGCTGAAGTAAACTAGTCTAGCTGTTTCAACACTGGTTAGACTTCTAATCTTTTTTACAGCATATGCTGCAGAACTAAGTCTGCTTGCTAGTTTTGATATATGGGGGCTCCATTGAAGCTTCGCGTCTAGTGTGATTCCAAGAAAAATGGTGGTATCTACAAGACTCAGTTTCTCCCCATTTAAAATTACATTAGTATTTAATTGTTTGACATTTGGAGTCACGAATTTCATACATTTTGTTTTAGTGCCATTTAAATGCAAATTATTAACATCGAACCAATTTACTAATTTAGATATAGCATTATTTACTTCGTCATATTTTAGTAACTGTCGACTTAATTTGAAAATTAAAGAAGTGTCATCTGCAAATAATACTATATCATGGTTATCC